TATAAAAGGCTTTGACAAAATTATATGTAAAAGAAATTTAAATGAGAAAACCAATGTATTATACAATATTACAAAAACATATTCATTTTTATTCGTTCGTAATAATAATTGATAAAAGTGAACATTAAATCGGCTTCATTCTAATTCGGAATTGTGATTTTTCATATATTTAAATTCTAATCTTGTGTGTATTTTTTTTTTATTTTAATTTTACTAAAAGTTTATACAACAAATAAGTTTTAACTGTTGTCCATGTCACGCGTTAACTATTTGTTTCGTGGATGGTTGAAGACGTACTTATTGTGTCCTCTTGATATCGTTTGGTTAGTTTTGTAGTTGGGATACTACAGCATGGGCGTATAACCCCACATCTCCTTTTATTCATCATAGACTGGTTCAAAATAAAACAACAGATATTTAGTTTGGTAGAAGAAAAAAAAAGTAGAACAAAAATTACTTTTTGACTAGCTGATACGTTTTGCAACTTTAAGAAGACGTTTTTACAAATTTTACAAGTGATGCCGCTCACGATAGCATCGACAGAGTCAATCATGGACATACAGAGAAAATAATCTATGTGAAACAGAAGCAGCGCTTTTTGTTTTTATACGACCGCAAAAAAATTTTGCGGTCGTATATTGGTATGAAGTTGGCGTCGTCGTCGTCGTCGACGTCCGAAGACACATTGGTTTTCGCACAATAATTTTAGTTTAAGTGAATGGATCTCTATGAAATTTTACCATAAGGTTCAAAACCACAAAAGTAAGGTTGGGATTGATTTTGGGGGTTATGGTACCAATTGTTAAGGAATTAGGGGCCAAAAAGGGGCCATAAAATAAGCATTTTTGTAACTTCCAGATAATAACTTGTGTGTTAGTGTATGGATCTCTCTGACATTGTATCACAAGGTTCCATATTGCAAAGGGAATGCTGGGATTGATTTTTGGGGAAATTGCCTCAAAATTTTAGGAATTAGGGGCCAAAAAAGGGGCAAAAACAAGCATTTTTCTAGTTTCATGAAAATAACTTGTAAGTGTATGGATCTTTATGAAATTGTACTACAAGGTTCCATATCACAAAGGGAAAGCTGGGTTTGAGTTTGGGGGTAATTTCCCTAAACGTTTAGGAATCTGGGGCCAAAAAGGGGCCAAAAAACAAGCATTTTTCTATTTTCCAGACAATAACTTGTGTTCAAGTGTATGGATCTCTCTGAAATTGTACTGCAAGGTACCATACCACAAAGGGAAGGCTGGGATTGAGTTTGGGGGTGATGAATCATAAGGGGTTCAAAAAAATTGGGGGGGGTCTATTTTAAGACTTGTATGATGTATTTAAATTGGTAATTATGGTTGCAAACTCCATTGGAAATTTGAATTGAGATTATGACCATATCTTGAGGGAAAGATTGTTTTTTGGAAAAGGGGGGAGGAGGGGGGGAAATGAAAAAAAAATTAGGGGGGGAGGGGGGTAAAAAAGAAATTGTGGGAGCAATTTTTTTTTCATTTCAGATTTCAGATATTAAAAAGAAAACTTCTTCAAATATTATTTCTTTTTGCAAAAAAAAGGGGGGGGGGGTAAACAAATTTTTTTTAGGGGGGAGGTCAGTACGCAACAGCATAGTGTAATTCACATAAGCAAAAAAAAGGGGGGGGGATTTTTTTTTTGTGGAAAGGGGGGGGGGGGTCAATTTAGCAACAGCATAGTGTATTGCACAAAAGCAAAAAATTGAATACAAATTCAAATCATATAACCAATTCTAAGTTCTTTGATTACAGTTATTCGGTGTCAGAAACCTATAATGTGTCAAATATTTATTTACAATCCAAATTCAGACCTGTATCAAGCATGAATATTGTGTCCATTTTTGCCCCAACTGTTCAGGGTTGGACCTCTCCGGTCGTATCCAGCTGCGCTCAGCGAAGCATTTTATTATAATTATTATCTCAAAAGATAGTTTAAAAGAGCAGTGACTATTTAAATTATAAAAGCAAAATAATAAAAATACGGGACTTCGAGGAAAATTCTAAACGGAAAGTCCGTAATCAAATGGCAAAATCAAAAACTGAAACACATCAAACGATTGGATAACAACTGTCATATTCCTGACTTGGTACAGGAATTTTTTCTGTAGAAAATTGTGGATTAAACCTGGTTTTATAGTCAGCTTAACCTCTCACATGTATGACAGTTGCATAAAATTTCATTATATTGACGACGATGTGTGAACAAAACAAACAGACATAATAGGTAAAAATGTCAAAACATAAGGGTACAGCAGGCAACATTGTGTTATAATCATAGTCACTATAAAAACTAAACAAATATTTCAACAAAGAAAAACAAAAAGGCATATAGACAAAGCACATAAGCAAAAACGAAAGACAAGAATACAAAAATTTACCATGGCACAATAACACAATGACGGGATGTATAAGTACCGAGCCACGTCAAATGGATTGGGCAAAAAATAGACTAAACAGTTAAAGTAATAATTTACAAAGACAAATAAAAGAGTACTATAACACGTCATTAAGGTGATAAACAATGTCATTACTTAGAATCTTTACTTAAAGACCATCGTTTATTATTTGTGAAGTTGAAAAGTAATATCTACCCACAAGGTCTTCCGATGAACTTTTTTGGAAAAAGGACGAGACGTTCTTTGACATACCCCTGGTTCATCAACTTTCTGCTCAGACACTGGTGACGGTTTACAAAGTCTGAGTAGCATCTGCAAGCTCTTGAATATCGAATGAGTTGGGAAATGTATATCTCATATGCAGGAGAAGTTGGTATATTGCTACTAAGGTTGGAGAAACTGATAATTTTAAAATTAAAATCGTCTCGTTTGTCATAGATTCTGATACTAAGATGACCGCTCGTGTCAAATTCGAGGTATAAGTCTAAAAATGAGGCAGAGGAAGCCGTGTCTGTTGTTCCTTTAATTTTTAGTTCTGGGGGATATATTAATGGAATTCAATCAGAAAAGTCTGGATTGTTAATGGAACGAACAATATATATGAATGTGAAATTAAACGATCTGGTTTTTTTATCTTCTTGTTTTTTACAAATGTCTGAAGGAACTCCGACTAATATGAAGATAAGAAGAGGTCGCTGCCGCACATTTCGCTCCCATAGACAATTTGGTGACAAAGTCTACATCCAAATTCAACAAATATTTTGTCAATAAGAAACTCCAGCATACTGGTCACTTGTTCCTCTGTGTAGTATGTTTTATTTTTTTTGTTCACTATTTACAAAATATGCCGTATGGTATCCAAAAGTAATAAATGTATAGCGTGCGCTACCATTTTATTTTGAAAAGCATTGTAGATTTAATTTTTTTTCTTTTAGACGATTTTTCAATTACACATAGGGAATGGTGGTACACAGGGTTGAAAAATTAAACGTTTTGATAGTACTCATTTCAGATTTATATTTATTCAGAAGTTCTTTAAGAGTTTTTTTAAAAGCCATACATGGTTAATACCACTACGCCGGTAAACAGTTTCACGGTATTTCTGAAAACCCTCTTTCATTGCGGAAAGAATCTTTGTCAATCTAATGGACAATTCTTTCGTCGAACATGCAGATGAGCTGGAAATGTACGGCTGCTTGTATGGAATTTTGTGAAGCTTAGGTATCCAATACAAACAAGGTAAGTCATCCGATTTGCTGCTCAAAGTAATGTTCATTGAAGCTAGTAAGGTCTTATGAATCACCAAAATCTCATACTTGTCAAATGATGTTTTTGTATGTGGGATTACATGAGTGCTCATTTATTCCTAATTCTTTTACAAGACATTCGTAGTAATACGATTTGCATACAAAGACAAGTCACAAACAATTAAATTGTTTAATGTACGCTTTGCCAATTACAGCATCTAATTTTGGTTTAAAAGGCTTTTTTTCTTCTTAGTTAGTTGGTAAATTGTGTAACTTCGTTTAATAACAAGCGTTTTTAAACAATATATCAATATTGAGCTGAAACACATATATATTAATTTGGATCTAAACCATGACAAACTTGATCAAAACCATGACAAATTTCTAGACACTTAACCGAACCATGTCATAACTTAACTAAACCATAGCAATTTCGATAGTTTGATTATTCTGCGTTAGTTTCTTGAAAACAACAATTCCAATGTAGATCGTTTGACTAACAATGCAAATTAAAACATCTTATTTGCTTTTCATTTGCTCGTTTGAATAGAACTGAGGCAATCGTTCGGGGAAGTAACTTAACACAACCATGTTCATCTTAACCAAACTATGACAAAATCACTGTACTAAACGCTTCTCGATATGACGAGGTTACTACCCGTGATGTAAGTATTGTCAATATGATACTTCCATGGTTTTACCAATAAATATTTACAGTGTCATTAACACATATTTGATAGCACAATATATCCTTCCGGAGCACCTAATGTCACCCCCGGTTTTTTGTGGGGTTCGTGTTGCTCAGTCTTTAGTTTTCTACGTAGTGTTTTGTGGTTTTGTTCGTCTGTTTGTCGTTTTCGTTTTTTGCGATAGCGTTGTTTTCTTCAATTTATGAGTTTTGAATGTCCCCTTGGTATCTTTCCACTGTTTTTTTATATATAAAGTATACGACAGTGCTGTCTCTTTACCAGAATTTAATTTCCCCTAAAATAAAATCCTTTGTTCTATATTTGAAGATTTTATTAACTGATCTCAGAATCGTATAAATGTTTTTCTTTTTATTCAAACTTGAAGGCCCCAAATAAGGATGATATGTATACACAAAAAAGAAAAACATGTTGAGTTGGAATTCTTTTTACTTACATTATCTGTTTGTTAAAAGTCAGAGGATGCAGTTGCCTTTAGATTAGGCTCACACGAAGCTAGACAAATTGTTAATTTGTTTTGACAACATATTCTTCAAAAGTAGCCTGATATCATAAAATAGAAATAAACGAAGCTTGCCAATCATAATCAAAACATATTTAATTTAATAAATGATTCGTGATTTACAGATATTTATTTAACAACGAATGGAAGTTACGAATACACAATTTTGGAGAGTCTAAAACCTTCTCCAGATAATTGCGGAGAAATCCATTTTCAGATACGAGCTGGAAAGAATGCTTTCATTGCCTTACTCTCTGGAAACGACGATTCAGACCCTCTATATGAAATAGCATTTGGTATAAATGATGTGTGTTCAACAATAAGAAAGGGGAAAGGTGGGCTTAACACTACAGGCGCCCTCGATGCTAATGACGTTTTCTTAGCACAATACGAATGGAAAAACTTCACAATCAGGTGGAACAATGGCTTTATATACGCCAAAACACCTTATATATCTATGACTTTGAATGACGAATCTCCTTTACTTGTAAAGAAAATAGCAGTTACAACTGCAGATGACGCATCTGGGGATTGGCACTTCAACACAGAAGGTATGTAATTTAAAAAGTCCCTTTACTTCTATTATTCTGGTTTATTGTATAAACTGGTATTATAGCAATTAAATAGTCTTACCAATAACTAAAGTAATGTATATGTTACAGTACAAGTTGGAATTCAGTAGAATACTGAATCCTCCTATTACAAATCGGAATTCCAATATCTGCTAGTAGAAATGTGGATATCCAGATGTGTACCAGTAACATGATTCTGGATTGTACTCTAGTAGGATCCAGGATATTACTTAAACAATAGTTAGTTTGGATCTTACTAGAGTTTTTACTGATGCACTTGAGTAGGAAAACTAAATAAATGATAATATAATGCACTTTAATACTTTTTTACAATAAAATATTATATATGTAAAATACATAAACTTCCTTGAAATTCTTTTATTTAAAGTAACATTTGCTTACATTTTGTTTATGATATTTCGATAAGCAAACAATTTTGACTTTACAACATAAACAGTTTAGTGAAACAAATTTTGTGTAAATTAACTGAATATTAATTTTGAGACATTGAAAATTTAATATGTTTTTGTTAAATTTTGTATCGAAAAACATCATAAACTGACTGAATTAAGTTTTACCTGATAGACAATATTTAAATTACTTCAAATAAAATTTTGATGTCGGTTAAGAATGTCCTTCTAATTATTCAAAATTTGTCAATATTTTGATCAAATGTGATGGAATACATGCACATTAAATTGTTGTTCAAATATTTAAAGTACCTCGTATGAACCTATTTTCTTTTTGAATTCAGACAAGTTTGATTAAATTAGTTTATTATGAAGAAAATCAAAATATGTTTTTTTAGTAGTCATCTATAGGACAACCAAGGATCCTCCTAGTACAATCTGGATATCCCAATTTTTACCAGTAGATATTTGGACTTCTATTTTGTACTGGACTAACATAAGTATAAATCCGAATTCCAATTTCTACTAGTAATTATTGAAATTCAAATATATACTTAAAGGATTCTGGAGCCTCCTGAATTCCAATCTATACTGTCAGATTTACATACTTATAACTGAAAGAGAAAATCCTATAGTCTCTCTTCTGACAGTGTATTTTACGTGGAATATAAAACAAAAATATGTTATTAAAATACTTTTTTTTGTTTAGAAATTAAGTCGTGGCATTGTGGTATTTTCTCGTTCTGAAATCAAATGTTCTTATTTAATGTTAAAATAAGGATGGCAATAAAAGATATTTAGCTTCCACAGGAAAAGATCTTGTAAAATTTTATTTCAAGACAAAAGAAATGGATAATGAAAAAAAAAATGGTAACTTTTTAGGTATTAATTTAAAGTTCTTTCATCGGACATCCTTTGGTGGCAATATTGTTTTATATATCTGAATAGAAACTATGGAAGCGTAATAGCGCCATTGAATTTTTTTTTAAATCTCGGTGTTATTTTGCAAACTTTTGCGAAATTTCGCAAACTGCTTTATTTCGGAAACTGCGCCATTTAGCCAACTTTGCGTAACTTCGATAAATTCAGCGTCATTCGTAAACTTTGCATAATTTCGCAAACTTTAAACAAACTTTTGGTTTATTTCGTAAATTTTGCGTTATTTTGCAAACTGTGCTCGAACAGTTTTTTTTTATTGTTGAAAAACAGCAAACATACTATTACAGTTAAAACGGAAGCAAATGTTATATATATATATATTAGTTATAAATTGAGTAAGCTCTCGAATTGTAGAATAAAGTTAAATTCTCTTTGTTCTTTTGTGTACGTTTTGTTGATCTACTGATCAATTTAAAAAGTGAGAAGATTCAGATATGAAAGAAAGCTAGTTCGCATATTCATGTGCATGTCTTAATTCAGGAACAACGTTGGTTATTGTCGTATGTAATATCTGAATAGATGTCGGCTTATATGTCCGCGTCCATCTGTCAAACAATACAACGAACAAACTCTTAATTTAACTCAATTCTTAGTTTCGTTTTTTTTTTGGTGTGAAAAGGGGGTGGGGGCAGATACTAAACGTAAGGTTTGGTTTAGCTAAGAGGTCTCAGTTGGAGTAGGGACATTAAAATCAGATTTAGGTGAAGCTTGTTCAACCAGATATAACCAGTTTAACAATAAGAAGTGAAAGCAAGGAAATATAGCAACGAAAAATGTTGGCGAAATATAGTGAAGTTTGCGAAATAACAAAAAGTTTGCGAAATAACGCAAAATGTTTGCGAAAGAACGGAAAGATAAAAGAAAATTTATGTGGCACTACTTTCATTCCGTAAGAAACAGTGTTCTGTTAAATGATTGTTGTTATGATTTTAATTAAGTCTTATTATAATTTTTTAATTTTTTTTTAGTTTCAATTCCAAACGGATGCAATATAACAGTTCAACAAACAACTACTTCAGTTGGCGATAGTACTCAAGAAAACCAAGTCTGCATGTGTCCATGTTCACGGGTCTCGAATAGTAAATGGCTCTATCTTAAAAACTTAAATCTCACATTGGATGAAATACGAGTGATACTGTCTGATGAGCTTGAAGATTTGCGAAAAAATTTAACAATCGATAAAACGAACACATCGGCATATTTACGTACAAAAATATCTGCACCTGATAATCGTCCTTCTGCAAAATCGATGGGTGCAGTCGGCGGACTATTTCTGGTTACAATCGTCGTTTTAATTTTCGGGTCTGATACTATTAACTTGTTTAAAACAGCACTTTTTAAACGGTGAACAAATCAAAATTAATTGTTGTAAAAAATCATTTTGCAGTTTTACTAGGAAAGGCCGAAAATTACATTGAAGTGATGACTGTTAGTCGTGTTAGTGCACCCAATTAACACGCGGATAAATTGTATCATTCGTAAGTATATCATCTGCACTATTTTCCTCGGTCTTTAACAGTAGTACGGTGCTATTTTCTTTAAAATAAGTTCAAATGTTAAGAAATGCACGATCCAAAATTCTGGAGGATGTCAGCACAAAATGCATATTTTGAGGTAAAAATAGAATGTGAAAATATGCAAAACTGCTAGAACAGCGTTTATGTTTTATCTTTATTTAGACGAATACAAAATAATTTATTATTTGGTTTTACCTTTCTAGCATTTTCCTACTATCTTGACATCTTGACAGAAACCAATTGTACAAAGCAAAACAAAAAAAGACAAAACAAAATCAGCAATTCAAGATCTACAAAAAGCCAATATAACTGAAACAATCGAATTATAAGAGGAATTGGCCTAAACAAGATTTTTTCTTTCAATATTTAGATTAAGGCTATTATTTGTGGAATCTACTTTTCTTCAGGGTCCTCGGTGGCCGAGTTGTCTTATGTGTTCATTTACAGAATCCACAAACAAGCAATTTGAAATCTACCAAACATTTAAAAAATTTACTATTGTTAATGGCTGCTTACGGGAAGGTCTATTGGTTTTGTAGAAGTGCGGATTTGGAATATTTGTTAATAATATTTTCCAACCTGATTTTTATGGGAATCGATATTTTTTTTTCATACATTGGTTTTATAGTGTGTTCTTTTATGTACCTTCGGTTAGTCTTCTGATCAAGTTAAAAAGGGGGGATATTTAAAACCAAACTAATTTAACCCCGCCATATGTTCAATTGCCCGTCTCAAGTCAGTTACCTTGTCAGTGATTGTCTTATGTCATATTTATCAATCTTTAGTTTGCCTTTGAAACAAGTGTTTTATTAATTTATTCACAGCTTTTAGTATATTTAAAATGTACAAAGTTTTATTGTTGTAGATTTTCTCGCTGTGTTGAAGACCCATTGGTGGTCTTGGGCTGTTTTCTGCTCTTTGGTCGGGTTGTTCTTTCTTTGACGTATCCCGTTTCCATTCTCAATTTTATGTGATGACTTCTAGGTGCCATTTGGTTATTTGTGTCGTTGTAAATGCTGTCTCACTTCATACCTTGTATTACCTTTAATTCATAATTTGACCCTATTATTAAAGCATTATTGGCCTTACATTTACCCAAAAGCTGTACATTTCAAAATTTAAAACATTCTGGAAAAAAATACTGATAGATATAGAGTCCCTGGTTATCTGCGTCTTTGTCAAATTAACTATCGACAACAACACCTTTTTGTTGGCTTCTTTCTTAGATTTATTTGTATATTTGTTTGATTTTTTTAAGTTAGTTGTGTTGTTTGTCTGTGATGTATGTTTACACAGTTTTGGCTGCTGAATCACAATAATTGTCACATATCAGTCTCCGATGGTATCATCAGCTCAGTAGTCGGTACGTTCCTTAAGGTTTCAACTCCCGCAGGCAAAGTTGACCTTAGATGGATTTGGCTTGTATGAAGGTCCTTTAGCTCTTCAAGTGTTTCGGTTCTGATAAATCCTTGACTTTCAATTATTTGGCGTTGAGTGTTCCTGGAGAAGGTAAATCAAGAACAGCGATTCGGACGCATGAAATTTATAACGTGTTGTTTTAATTTTTTAACCAATTATGTCTTTTTCAGTTGCTCACCCATTTTTGTCAATATAAAGGAACTATAAACACGGTCATACAAGTGGGATGTTATGCTAGCTATAAAACCAGGACTAACCAACCATTTTCGACAGAAAATATCTGTACCAAGTGAGGAATATAACAGTTGTTTTCACTCGTTCTGTTGTTTGATAACGTTTGATTTGTCAGTTTTTATTGACTTTCCCTTTTTGAATTTACCTTTGCATTCGGTATTTTTTTGTCTTTTTTTAAATATTGTTGTCATTCTTTCTGCGACACGTACAAGTCAATGTACAGTGATAGACAAGTGTCAATTAAAAGTATCAAACTCTTTTGGTCATTAAAAATGTAAAAACTTGTCATTTCGGACAACAACAAAACTCTTAAAAAGCCATTAAAATATTGCAAATTGATTTCTTTCTTTTCAAGACAGAACTTTATTGCTGTTTATGAGAGATACAGTTAAAAAAAAATATAATTATCAAATGGTTATTGGCAATTGATATTTTACTTTGATAAACTGCTACAACATTCAATCAACTTGACCAAAAAGTGGAACTCAGTATTGTCGTATCGTTTATACATGGACTTTATCCGTTGATTGTGGGGTCAGCGCAACAAAAACATAGTAAAGCAAAATGCATAAAATATTCAAGGGCAACATGATTGGGTAGATTTCCTCTGGAGGTAAAGGTGCAAGTAAGAAGGATTTTATATATGTGTGAACCTGTGAATAATAAATCAAATCTTTGTATTTAATGTATAGATTTATGCTTTGCTTAAAGCCTATAACACAATTAAACTTTAAATGGAATAATTCAATAGAACGATTGTTAAACTGTACTGACATTGAATATATTTTTGCCAAACAAACGGGCCACTGTGGTAAATTTTACAGTCTTTGTAATCAGTTTGTACAACAGTGTTCTAGTGATATAGAAAGTTCATTATGTGGACAATTTTACTCGATATTAAAAAAAAACTCTTTGTAAAGCTTCTAAAACTTCCTCAATATTTCAAGCTTTGGATCACATATTTATTTTAGGTGTTCAAGTTTGCGTCTCATTATCGAAAGTAAAAGATAGCAAAATATTCCGATAGGATATGTGCTTTGTTCTTTGTGAAGGGTGAATATTGGCAATGAAATTCATCTATGATTTAAATGTTCTAATCAAAATATTATTACCTATCTACTATACAGTGAATCCTAATTAATAAAAAAGGAAGGTATGCTTTCAATATATAATGTACATCTGCATAAGCGACTTTCTGTGTTCATCAAAAACGTTTTGAAGTGTTGAAATGTTTTATATATAATTGTTATTTCTACATGTATGTATTTATTGATACCAAAGGTACACATGTAACTGTGTTTTTAGTTTTCAAATAAAATCTTGAAAATTGCATGATAAATTATTTGATTTAATATCTATATATATTTTTCTCATAAAACTGGCTTTAATTTGTTGGGGGACAAAACGGACTCAATCGGCATGCTTTTATTTTATGACTAAAATGTCGATTAAGTTGTTTGAACGCATTTTTGTTGAAAATCATATTGTGACCTAGGAATATATTATTCCACAAAGAAAGCATAGCGTAATAAATAAAATCAACAATGACGGTGAGAGAAACATAAAGGAATGATATGATTGAGAAAAAAAGAAAATAAAGAAGACCACAGTCTATTGTGAAGCCCGCCTCCGGGTTTCGGATTTTCTCGCTGTAATGAAGACCCATTGGTGGCATTGGACTGTTTTCTGCTCTTTGGTCGGGTTGTTGTCTCTTTGATACATTCCCCGTTTCCATTCTCAATTTTATGATACATGTACAATAAGATACATATCTTACACAGCACACTTGTGTTGTAAATGATCACGTCTCTGTGTAAGAAGTAAGAAGTGATAATTAATTAATGAACTTACAAAGATTTCCCATCTTTAATGTAAAATAGAAATACCATTTGATATTTTAAGTTCCATTTGTATTGTGAAACATTGAAGTTAGTAACAACAAAACAGCGGGGGATTGAAATTAAACTTTGCATAGTTCTTTTATAGCAGAATGTCATCATAACATAATTTCATTGCATTGACTATTATCGTTGCTCTCTATTCATTTATAAATATTATAATAGTTATTGATATTTTCCTTTTTTTTCTGTCTTGCATGTCCCATATTGATCCATGTCAACAAATGTATAATCACTTGGAAGAATAAGAGATGCGTAATAATCTATATTATAATAATAACCAATTATAATATGTTTTAATATTTTAGTAAAATTGTAAAAATTTAGGACGTTCATAATTTTCATTGACATGATATTTGCTAGTTTACTATTTCCACAGGTAAATCAATATCTGATAGTTTCTTTTTGTTCCAAAATCAAAAAGGGCTTTAGATTCGTGTCCATATGATATGTTATAAATTCTATCGTTTGAAAAGAGAGGTTGCGTTTAAAATTATGTGTTCATCCCTCAAAAACAAATCAGCAAAAATCCTCGAAACAAAAAACATACACTAGAGCAAGGCCATTTTATTGAGATCATAAAATGCTTGACCTCTATTTTAAAAAAGTCAAAATCAAAATGCATCAGGTCAACTAAACATTCGACATTTCACGATTCCTATGAATTTTAGGATCGATGGGTTGCTGTCTTATTGACGTATAACACTAGTTCCCATTAAAAATGATTACATTTCATTGTTGTAATAACCGACATTAATCTGCGCTATTGCAGAAACCAGTAAATTCACTACATTTTTTGTTATTACACGGTTTGTATCATAACAATCTATGATTCGTAGCGCAAATAATTATCATTAATCATAATTGTTATCGTAATTATTGCAGAGAAAACAGTTTCGTAAGTCAATGTCAGAACAAAAATATATATACCAAATAAAGCAGTTTGTGATATCTTTAAACATTACAATGCATATTTTTTTACTTGAAAATTGCCAGAAGGAAACATGATAGTCATGAATGCCATAAATTCTAAATGATTTGCATTTCCTATACTATCTTAAAACATTTAATAAAATCTATTACGTTTTCTGGAATTGATTTACATAATGTTAACATAGCCAATCTTGGAACAATGACAATAAAAACTTGTCGACTACGCAATAACTTCATTGTAGCGAAAGTTTCACAGCATTGAAAGAACTTAGAATCGATTTTATAAACGGAAAAAATCATATAAGTAAAGGCTAATAGTACGAACATCATGTGTTATGTCAACGAATATTAATCCGACATTTTCTACATAAGGAAATGCTTTTACTAAGTCAGGAAGATGACAATTGTTTTCCATTCGTTTGATGTATTTGAGCTTTTGATTTTGCCATTTGATAAAGGGACTTTCCTATTTGAATTTTCCTTGGAGTTCGTTTTTTTTGTTATTTTACTTTTTACAATAACAAATTCATAGGACAACACAATACTTAATATGTTTCTATCCTTCATCATATATTGGTAACTTTGAAATTACAAAAATTTAGCAAACATTCTTCGCATCCAGGTTCATCGGAATCTCAGATTTTGACATCATGTAGAAATCCCCTTTGACGACATAACATAATGTAAGTTTTTTTTATGA